TCCTAACCGCTGTGCCACCGACGAGCACTTATAAATATTAGGTATAATGAATCGAAGATGATTTTTCACTAGGATTTATAAGAAGTACACAAAATAGTAGAACCAATCACAAATGTAAAGGGAAATAGGTGTTTAGGAGGTTACAATGAGATAAGGGATATGTCCAGAGTTGTCCGCCTCAATAAATATGTCGCCACCCATTTTTAATCAATTCCCAATCGATTGGTCCCTACTGATTAAGTAAAGAACACGTTATCTATTTTTGCTGCTTATATATGCATCTAAAAATCTAGCTACTTCTGTGGGGGATGTTATAAAGAACGAGTAACCAAGGAAATTACAAGACGAAAACTTGAGCACCTGTCTCAGTGGCTACGAAAAGGTCATATAAAGTCAATAACATTCGCAATTTACAGATTACATTGTTCAAGGTGAAAATCTATCGCAAATTCCTTTGGAAACCAAAATCGTAATACCACAAGTGGTGATCAAGAAAACAGGCATAAACACACGATGTCATATACTAATAATCTACCGATATATGCAGTCGGAATTCACTCTCAAGACCCAGTGGCGCTTCTTAACGGATTGAAATGATCTAAAGATCGGACGGCCGTCTTGTTCCGTCTTGAACTCATCTTGAAGAAGCTTTATTTTGTCGGAGTTGATCAAAAACAAACAGGTAGGTGGATGCGAAAAAATCTTTGATGCTTATTTATTGTATTGCATCGAATCTTCCGAATGGAATTCGAACTCGTCTTTTATACACAAATAAACGCATGTGAATTCTGGAGAATAATAATGATAGACTTTGTGTATTTTCGTCTCTATTTTGAAATGGGAAAATTTACTAAACAAATCAGTGAGTAAGCCTCCCCATCCTTTCTTTCATTCATCATACTTATGTCTTAACCATCTATTCATCTAATCATTAGTATTAAGCTTAGCTCTGAATTCCGTGGGATCTTGACCTGCTTTTATTATTCAGACGTTTATATTTATCAAACTATCTTCATTATTCCTATCGCTGCCTGCGTGAACTATTTGTACTATAGTTACCATAGTTATTGTCGTTATCGTTCTTATTGCCTACATAATTTACGGCATTTGTCGTCGACCTACATATCACTTTCATTGGTCAAAATTATATATATATATATATATATATATATATATATATATATATATATATATATATATATATATATATATATATATAAAGCTATGTATATCAAAGGATGGCCTGAGGAAGTTCTAATTGACAACAACAGATTTTTAAGATGAGGCTATGAGGCATGTTTATTGTTTTTTGAAGGTTGACTTTACTAAACGGTTACTCACATTGAAATAGGTGGGTTTGAGTTTGAACCAGGGACTCACTAGCCATAAATCAAATGCCTGGACTAATGAGCTATGAGATAGGAGTTTAGCCTGCTTTAACCTACTGGGCTACTGGAATTTTCATCTGTCAAAGTGCTTAAAACATTTTGCATTTTCTATTGTTTTAATCATGTATTCATATCAAATGATCACCACATGGACTCGTGCACATATTTCATTAGCTTTCAAGAAAACCCTGCAATTCTTGAAGCATTGAAGAGAGATTCTACTGATTTGGTTCTCTCTTCGTACGAGGCAATATTACGTCACATCATATACTTCAAATTATTATTTGATATGTAAATCCTGTATGAAGAGGAAATATTTTGGAGATAAATACGCTGAAAAATTCTGTACTATGTGCTCACATACTGTCTGAAATGAAGCTTTATTATTATTGCTATATCTGACTAGTACAATTTTCAAATTAAATTTACAGACAAAAGCATCAACAATACCTTGGAGCCGCACGAGATATGGTTACGAAGTCGGTAAAATAGGGGTAAAGCAATATAATTTTGAAAGAAAGCAAGACTTAGAACTAGTCCGCGAAGTAATTGTCTGTCAGGTGAATTTACATGACGGCGGAAACTTATATGACGATAGGAATGCATACTTATCCATGTTTTATATTCACAGCATACCGTTTTGGTAAAAATTTTGCTTCTCTTGCCAAATGTTTTACAATTTTCACTATGATTATTTTCATTTCCTCTCTTTTCCCTTATGACTGCTTTTGGGTGATGTATAAATTTGAGACACTTCAATTTTTACTAGTATCTATGTGTGTCTGATAGAATCGAAGAAATAGATATATGTTTAATGCTCACCAACATTCATGTGAAGTGAAGCCAAACACGCACACATCCTTCTTTGTCAACCGAAGGTGTAACAATTACTGACAAAAGCTATTTAAAAATTACTATAGCATAAGAATAGGATTTATATAATTTAAGAAAGGCAATATTATTATTATTCCTTTATCATGGTTTTGAGAATGTAAATTTTATGTAACTGAAGTCAGACTTAAATTAAATTTTGATTACAGCTTGATTCCACACTGTATTTTTCGTACAAATATGGAATTTTCAGCGTGGATATCGGTAGCCCAAATTTCGCAGGCCGACCATAGATATCAGGTGTGCGTTGGTGGGTGCTCGAACCCCGGACCATGTGCATGGTCGGCGAGAATCCTAACCACTGTGCCACCGACGCATCATGCATATATACAAATATCCATAAACACTAACTTAATCTTCACGTTTTGGGTTTGCTAAGGATTTCGATAAATTTTAATGTGGATTTCGTCATAACAGCATACATTAGTAGCAGTTCCATTTCGCAAATTGACGGAAGTTAAAATTTGTGAGTCATTGAACATCAAATTTGCGGCTGAGTAACTAGAGGGTTCACTTCGTAACCTGAAGATCCTTGCCTAGTCTTCAGGTAAGGTTATTGGTACACACTGCCAGAAAGTCCCAGACTACGATGGAACAGCTGTCCAGAGCTCTTAGGTTTTCAGTGATTGTCTGACTGATGTCGATTTGTGACACCAAATACACTGAAACTAAATTTAAATGTCTGTAGTTATACAACGAAAAGTAAATAACTATATAACTGTGACAATGGGGAAAGTTGATTGATTGTATATTCTGTCTAAGATTACAGACCGTTATCTGGTTTGAAGTTTTGACTGAAATTGATTCATTTATACAATCAACTTCACGGGGTAAGTACCCACCGATAAACTCAGTTACCTGGAAGAGATTTCTTATGTATCGGGCTATGGACTACAGTTAGCGTGTGAAGGCTGATGTCTAGACTGAAGTAAGTAGAGAGAAAGATTCAATTTCAATATCTGTTAGTTAAAAGTCAAATGCTTAAGCCAGTTAGTCAGTTCTCTAACAGGGGGTTAACACTCAAACAAATCTACAGGTTTGGAATCCAAGACAAGAGTAACAGATGGTTAATTAGTGTGAACTTATTTGCATAATGCTATATACTACTGACTGCTTGAGATTAGCAGTTGCATACCACTCATATTAACCAGTAATGCTTACTAGCCAGACCGAGGTGATCTAGCCACCTGACCATCCGTTTCGTTCGTTTGAAGCCGATCTGATCAGAGGGGTAACCAATTTGAATCGACTCAGAGAGGCGAAGTATTTTACAAACTTTTACCAAACATTTATAGGCTATGAAGTTATATGCTTTGTAAGCGATATGTCTATGGTTGACAAGCATCACTATGTGACATTGTAGTTTTTGATGAAACTAGATCATGTGCAGCTAAACGGATTGAAACAATCCCCATACCGGTAGACAGGCAGCATAATAATCTACATCATTCTTCCATGTGAAATCAAACGATGCTTACTAAAGGCCTGAAAGACCTGGTGGTCAGAAAATGACTTTAAAATGAAGACATCAAATACATCTGGTAATGGCTATATACTGTCCAAGCTAATAAGAGACATCAGTAATAAAAAGCTTCGTTAGGTGGCTGGAAAAGAAGAAATCCTGCCAATCAACAGCTTGCAAAGACGCATGGGATACCGAGTAGAATAACTTAAGGAGAATTTTAGTTGGCCTGTGGGACCAATATTTTATATTTTAAGTTATTGCTCTCCAAGTCTGGTTAATACTATCATTTAACGTGGTAAAGGACTGCAAAGAACTCCAAACTTTAGGAGTCACAAGTCATATAGCCCAGAGGAATTGCTATCCCTCAAGGATCTGTTTAAGGATGGTGGTAAAACTCTGGTCAAAGAACTTACTACTTTGTTCAAGAAGGCATGAAAGACTAGACATGTCCGTTTAATGTGTCATGTAAGGATGACTAGCTGTTTTTAAGAAAGGTCCAAGCAATGTATAAGACAGTCATCAGGGTATCGATTTGCCACTGATCTTCTCAAAAAGTACTGTCTGCTACTGTGGTTCGCAGACAACAAAAGAAGCAAAACCTGAAATGATGAAGGATAAACAGATTATCGTTTAAGCTTTAAATGCACCGAGCACGTGTTCATTATTTCTCAGTTGCTAGGATACTGTTACATGTATGGAAGCCTAACAATTGTCATATTTTTTAAATATAAGGACCTTGAAGGATGTGCATAACGGTGTACATCTGCTAACTAGAGGAAAACCACTCGATCTTAAGCAACCACACAACGCCGTCTTACCCAAATATTTAGTGAGCATGATGTGAGGTTGATACTTTCCAAGTGCAACGGATCTAGACAAAATCCTCAGGAAACTGTGCTTACGTAGGCTGATGTAGGCGTGGTGGGTTCAAATTACAGACAGGAAGCCAAGTATTTAAACCAATGAGACATGTCTCCATTATTACCTAATGTCAATAGTTTAATGAAGTGATTCCATGTCATAATGCCTCATCAATTTAACCTTACTCCATTGAGTATCACTCAGCCAAATTATATGGTAGTTCTCATCTAATGTTGATTTACAGAGTTCACACTGAATACTTTGTTTTATTTATTCAAGTGAGGAGTCACAAATAGGAGAAACGCACGTCCTGGATTCGCCTGTTAGCAACTACAAAACAAATACCTTCAATTTACTTGTTTAAAAATATTAAAACTGCATGTATACAAACTTACTGAATCTAGACTTTTCAGTTGAAAACCAGTAGACATGGTATCATTCAATAGCATTTTCATACAGTGACAAATCAACTGCATAATTAAAGGTAATTTAGTACTGACCAAAAGACTTGTACAACACTCTAGAATTACAGATAAATTCTATGAAGTTAAAAACAGAAAGAAGAGAATTATATGGAATCAGTATATATTTGGAAGAATTAATATATCGAAAATAACTGAACATCTGTTTACATAGTTGATTATGGAACAAATGTAGGATGCTTGTAAGTGCCTTTTGTGTTGTTGCTGTTACTGTGTTCTCTGATTGGGATGGTTCAATTGTAAAGTTATCATCGCAGCCTGTTTAAATCACAAGGGCCTACTGATTCTCTAAACAGTGAAATGCATGTCGCACTTGTTCAATTTCATACTGTTTTAGGCACCAGATTACCTTTATTTGGACTGCTATCTTTAGATTTTAGATAACTGAGCTACTCGAAATTTTCAAAGGTAATACAAAGGAAAAATATCGCAAGACGTTTACAATGTGTACTTGAGACGCACACCAACAATGCTTCAAATGATATATCATCGATTCTCATTCCACCTGAAGATCATGTACAAGGAGCAGAATTATAATGCAATAAAACACCCTGAGAATTCTGCACCGTCTATAAAAGCATTTTTCAGAAAAAAGCTATTATTGATATTGCTGCTGTTATCTCTTTAGACAATACTTTTAACGCTAATTTGAAAATAAAGTGCATAATGATATCACATAGACAGATCTAGCTTGTAATCTGAATCGTGTGCCCATATCGAGCGAGCACTTCTGTATCGAAAAATTTTTTGGGATGGGCCGAAAATATTGAATAAATTAGATTTTATTTAACTAATTCATCATGCTTCATACTTCTAAAGGTTTTTGATAGTCAAAGGTAGAAAGATTGTAAACATTATTGAGAGACCATGTCATTATCTAACCTATGTAGTTGAACACAGCACAACAATGTTTGGAATTCAAGTATACTATGCGAAACTAACTTAGTATAGTTACTTCACGATCATCCGAAACAGCTTTTCTTATCTATGGTATTTCCACAGTCAACTAGAATGCATGAGAGGAAAATTATGCCAGAAATGGCGGGTTTTGTAGCACACACCCAGTAACTTTTGGTTGAAATTATGTAGCAACATTAATCTAAGATTTAACTACAATCATCATTGCATCACACTGACCACAGTTTGCAAAGATAAAATTACTGTGGTGAGAGCCGGCTGTTAGTCAAAATTAGTGGACAGTAATTTACGTCAATGTTTATGTCCCCAATATTGTTCGTGAGAAAAATGAGAACAAAGGCTTTGCGTAGACGGATACAATTAACATATAGATGATCTGACATTCAAGAAACAGTCACAAAGAGATGCAAGGTTAACTTTCTGTGAGGAACAACCAATCAGAAGACTGTCTTCTGCCAACAATAATCTATAATATGTACATGAAAATCTATAAATATGTATTGATTTCCTAAATTAACGGTCTGTTGCCTGGCCCTTGTCTTCTGGTGTTACGTTACCAAAATAGAATTATATATATATATATATATATATATATATATATATATATATATATATATATATATATATATATATAGAAGGACCAATCAAGAAATTTATGCGTCAAGGCAGATTTCGTCATGAAGCGACATCAGTTAGACAACCACTGGGGCTCTAGTAGTGTTGAAGCACGGCCCCACTAAATCTGTCTGGATTCAACATAGAACTTGGCACCGAAGTGCAGCAGTTCGAGTTGCCACGTTCCACATAGCACACAAACATAGTCAAGAAGATGGGTGGAGAGAATCAATAGAGTTTGACAAGTATAAGAGTGATACAGAATGGGTAATGGAAGGAAGAAATATGAAAGATTACAGAAACTGAATAAATCTGCGCTGGCCATTGACAACGATTTTGAGCCATGTCACCTATTGTCTCCAGCCATTGATTCCTAGAGTCCGGAGGGCCCCAACCCCGAAGTCTGAATCTCCCTACCTGACTCAGTTTAACTGTCAAGGATTTCATGGATTGATGCCATGTTTTTGTTTGGCCACCACTTACTCTTTTCCAACCTGCACCTATGTCAGCTAGTAATGCCCGTCGGACGGGGGAGGCGATAGTTAGGCATGCGCACCACGTCACCTAGCCATCTCAATCTATGTAACTTTATAGCCTCGTCGATTGATTTTCCCTCTTTGCCCAACACTCTACGCTTAACGTCAACATTACTTACCTTATTAAACCAACTAACGTAAGAAAGAGATCGCAGACATCTATGATCGAAAGCAGTCAACCTTTTCACGTCTTCAACTCGTACTGGACATGTTTCAGAGCCATAGAGAAGGACGGGGAGAACTGATGAGCAGTACACACGTCCCTTGGTTGATAACCGGATGTCACGCCTACGCCAGAGATGGTGTAAGTCAGCGAAAGCAGCTCGAGCTTTTCGGATCCGTGTTGAGATTTCATCGCCAATCAGTCCGTTGGTTAGGACAACAAGCATCACTAGCCAAGACCCTGGCATCACGAGCCATTGATGTATGCTGTGTTTCAGAAACACGCATACAAGACCCAAGTGTGGTTATTCACCTAACCCCACCTGGCCAACAGGTTGAATCTGCAAAATTCACCTTGAGGGTGTCAGGAGATGCCACAGCTAGTTCACGAGGATTAGCTGGCGTAGGGATAGCTTTGAGTACTAGGGCAGAAAAGACATTGCTTGACTGGATCCCGGTAGATAGCCGAATGTGTGCTGTCCGCCTGAACGGATCAGTAAGAAGGAGGAAGGACTGCACTACTCGCCGATGCCTTTTCGTAATCTCCGCCTACGCCCCCACTGACTGCAGTTCAGATGAAACGAAGGATGAGTTCTACCAAAAGCTGTCTAGTTTGGTGGGAAAGGCTAAACGCTCAGACATAGTCGTTCTAGCTGGTGACTTTAACGCTCAAGTAGGGAAATTGTGTCAATCTGAGAAGGATGTCGGTGGCACCTATGGAGCTCCGTGCCAGCGAACCGACAACGGTGACCGTCTCCTACAGTTCTGCTCTGATAATCATTTGTTTCTTGTAAGCACTAACTTTAAACACAAGGAGAGACACTGTTTGACTTGGAGACCCCCTTCATCAAACCAACGCTGGACACAAATAGACCACATAGCAATAAGCTATCGTTGGCGTGGGTCGGTAGGAGATTGTCGCTCCTTCTGGAACACGTGCGTAGATACCGACCATGCACTGGTCCGCGCTCGGGTGTGCTTACGACTGAACGGACGTAGGAAACAGCTGGCGGTAAAACCATCACGTCCCCAGCTCGATCAGGAAACTAAATCCGTATTTCAGGAAGAACTAGCTAAACACATATCTGTGTTCGACAGCTGTGCTCACCCTGAAGAAGCTTGGAAAAATATCCAGGCAGCCATAGATACAGCTGTAAAAGCTGTGAATAAGGTAAACCCAAAGGTGAGTAAAAACCACTGGATCTCCACCGCCTCATCCGAACTGATAGATGCTAGAAGACTTATTCCGGCGAGCTCCGAATTCAATGAGGAGCGAAAGCTGCACAAGAGGAAACTTACGAAAAGTCTCCGCAAGGACCGTGAACAGTGGTGGGCGACAAAAGCCAAAGAGATGGAGAAAGCTTGAGGATAGGCAACACCAGGCAACTCTTTGGACTCATCAGGGAAACGGGTGGGAGAAGACAAATCATTAGTGAGACAATCTCGGAAAAAAATGGCACTATAATTAGCTCCCAGGATAGACGACTGGATCGTTGGAAAGAGCATTATGAGGAGCAGTTTAATTTGCCCACAGCCACGCTCAACCTTCCGAGCATCCAACACCTCCCTGAATGGGATATAGACACAGGTCCTCCGTCACTAACTGAGGTTACTAAAGCTGTCACCAATCTGAAACTAGGCAAAGCAGCGGGACCTGATGGAATGACTCCAGAGGTATTTAAGTACGGTGGAGACAGCTTACTGTCCGGATTAACTGAGGTACTAGGCAGCGTCTGGGAATCAGAAGAAGTCCCATCGGGTTGGTGTAAGTCACTGATTATCCCCATATACAAGAAGGGAGACAAGTCTTCCTGTGATAATCACAGAGGGATTAGCTTGACTAATATAGTATCTAAAGTCTTAGGCTCAATAATCATGCGTAGACTGAGTGGTGCTCGGGAAGCACAAACACGAGAGAGCCAGGCAGGCTTTAGACCAGGAAGAGGGTGTATTGATCATATCTTCACCCTCCGACAGATTCTAGAACATAGGCATTCCTACCGGCGTCCAACAGTCATTATATTTCTTGACCTAAAGGCAGCATTCGACTCTGTCGATCGGGAAGTTCTCTGGAGATGCTTGGCTGTAAAGGGAATTCCAAGAAAATATATTGCACTGATTAAGGCACTCTACTCGTACTCATACAGCCAGGTGAGGGCTTACGGCGAGCTGTCATCTGAACTGATGACGACCAGTGGTGTCCGTCAAGGATGCCCATTATCCCCTTTTCTATTCAACTTCATCATAGATGTGTTAATGGACTTAACCCTAGGTGACTTCAGCGACTCAGGGATTGACTTGCTACCGGGGAATAATCTCGTTGACTTGGAATATGCAGACGATATAGTCCTTCTAGGCGAGGACGCTGACGAAATGCAGAGTCTTCTAAACACCTTGAGCCGCAATCTACGAATGTTTGGCATGCGATTCGCTCCCGCCAAATGCAAGATGATGTTACAGGACTGGACTACATCGACGCCTAGTTTAAAAATAGGAAGTGAAGTGGTAGAGCACGTTGACCGCTTCACTTATTTGGGAAGTACCATCAGCCCCAACGGGTTGATCTCTGACGAAATCTCAGCACGAATACAGAGGGCTCGTTTCGCATTTGTTAGTTTACGCCGACTCTGGCGTAGACGAGATGTTCGACTATCGACCAAAGGGCGGGTGTACTGCTCATCAGTCCGCTCCGTCCTCCTTTATGGTTGTGAGACCTGGCCACTGAGAGTGGAAGACATGAAAAGACTAGCTGTCTTTGATCATAGGTGCCTGCGTTCTATTTCCCGTGTAAAGTGGCATAATAAGGTGAGCAACATGGAGGTTAGGCGTAGAGTTCTAGGTAAACAGGGGAAATCAATCGACGAAGTCGTGAAGCTACAAAGACTGAGATGGTTAGGACATGTGTTACGTATGCCAAGCCATCGCCTCCCTCGACGAGCAATGTTAGCGGATATAGGGTCAGGCTGGAAAAAAGCTAGCGGCGGTCAAACAAAAACTTGACATCAGTCAATGAAATCCACAACAGTTGGTCTAAGCCACGTAGGAAGGTGTAGACTTCCAGGCTGGGGTCCTCGGGACGGTAAAAATCTATGGTTGGAAACAATTGGTGACATGGCTCAAAATCGTTCTCAGTGGCGCAGATGCATCCACTCCCTGTGACTTATGATCTTCAATGAAACTGTTTTGTTCTTCGTTATTACTCCTTTGTCTCACACCTCTGCTCACTGTTTCTATTATGCTTTTCTTGTACTTTCTTCTCTTGCTTCGCGTGCTACACGGAATGTGGCGACTTGAACTTCCGCACATTTGTGCAAAGTTCTATGTCGAAAACAGACAGACAGACAGTCCGTTGGTGCTAATACAACTTCCCAAATAGGTGAAGTGGTCAACATGTTCTATCACTTCACTCTGTATCACTAAGCTAGGAGTTGACGTAGTCCAGTCCTGTAGCAGCATCTTACATTTTACAGGGGCGAATCGCATGCCAAACATACGAAGATCGCTGCTCAAGGTGTCCAGAAGACTCTGCATTTTGTCAGCATCCTCCCCTAACAGGACTATGTCATCTGCATATTCTAAGTCCATAAGACTATTCCCTGGTAACAAGTCCATTCCTAAGTCGTTACGTTCAGTTAAGAATACTTCCATCAGCATATCTATGATGGAGTTAAACAGAAATGGGGAAAGTGGACATCCCTGTAGGACACCACTGGTTGTTACCAATTCAGATGACAATTCCCCATAAGCCCTTACACGACTACGTGAGTTTGAATAGAGTGCCTTGATTAGTGCAATGTACTTTCTTGGCACTGCCTTCACAGTCAAACATTGCCATAGTACCTTTCGATCCACGGAATCGAAGGCCGCCTTCAAGTCAAGAGATATGACAATTGTTGGACGCCGAAAAGTGTGTCTATGTTCTAGAATCTGTCGGAGAGTGAAGATGTGACCAATGCACCCTCTACCTGGTCTAAAGCCTGCTTGATTTTCCGTTGTCTGTTCCTCCCGAGTTCTGCTTAGTGTATGCATGATTACTGAGCCTAGGATTTTAGAAAATATGTTCGTTAGGTTGATCCCCCTATGATTATCACACGAGGACTTGTTTCCCTTCTTGAATATCGGTATAATAAGTGACTTACCCCAGTCTGATGGAACTGTCTCTGATTCCCAGACTTTGCCTAGTACCTCAGTTAATCTACATACTAGTATGTCACCCCCATATTTAAACACCTTCGGAATAATTCCGTCGGGTCCTGCCGCTTTGCCTCGTTTCAAATTACTGATAGCTTTTGTGACCTCACTTACAGACGGCGGACCAGTGTCTATATCCGATTCGGGTGTGTGCTGGATGGCGGGGAGGTTCAGTGTGGCTGTAGGCAAGTAAAATTGTTCCTCAGTGTTCTTTCCAGCGTTCAAGGCGTCTATCCTGAGAGCTAATTATGGTGCCATTTTTCTCCGAGATTGTTTCACTAATGATTTGCCTTCTCCCACCCGTTTCCCTGATGAGTCTAAATAGTTGCCTGGTGTTGCCTATCCTCAAGGCTTTCTATATCTCTTTGGCTTTTGTCGCCCACCACTGTTCACGGTCCTTGCGGAGACTTTTCGTAAGTTTCCTTTTGTGCAGCTTTCGCTCCTCATTGAATTCGGAGCTCGCCAGAATAAGTCTTCTAGCATCTATCAGTTCGGATGAGGCGGTGGAGATCCAGTGGATTTTACTCACCTTTGGATTTGCCTTATTCACAGCTTTTACAGCTGTATCTATGGCTGCCTGGATATTTTTCCAAGCTTCTTCAGGGTGAGCACAGCTGTCGAACTCAGATATGCGTTTAGTTAGTTCTTCCTCAAATAGGGATTTAGTTTCCTGATCGAACTGGGGAAAAGATGGGTTTACCCCCACTAAGGATTGAGTCAGAGACCGTTAGCTCGCAAGGCACGCCCATTGGCTATTCAACCACTGGGCCCAGCAATTTTAACTTCTGTCAATTTGGGACGCACTACCACCACCAGTTAATGCTGTCGGTGAGTGTCCATTTCACACTCAACATGATGGACCCCACATTTTGCGACTTGTCAACAGAAATTCAGGATATCCTTTCCAAGGTTACTAATGAGAAGGACATTGATCTACAGATTTTGGGCTTCGGCCAATAAAATGTGTTCATTCTAAAGAGGGAAAACATTTCCCATGGTTGTTGATAATGGGATTTATGAGGAAACCAATCGTCTTGGGTTCTGTGTTCCGTAACAGGTATTCCAAGCTATTGCATTCCTTTTCGAGCAATGTTAGCTGACATAAGATTAGGTTGGAAAGGAACTGGGCGTTGTTAAATCAAAACACGGCATCAAACTACAAAGTCTTTACCTGTCGGGTTATGTAGGGAGGTGTGGACTGCCTGGCTGGAATCTTCAATACGCGATTAAATCAATGGCCTGAGACTGTTGATGATATGGGTTTAGTGCAAAGTTCTACGACGAAAATTCAGTTCGATTCAGGAGAAATATTATACATAAAAATTCATTGCAAAGTAAAGAAAACTCACCTCATTAATTAGCTTTAATTCATCAATTAAAGTAAATTTCACAAGATTAGCCTGAAGTAAACTGATTAAATAAGGCCAGCGTTGAACTTCATAATCATAATAAGTATGAATAACATCTGCAGTAGTGCATGTTGGTAATTTTGTATTGAATCGATTAAAATACTTTTGTAGCACTCTTTCAATATGATTAAATAATTCAATAGTCAGTGAATTCATAACAGTGAAACTACTATTATTATTTGTTTGATTATAGTTAGGGTTATTAGTATTGTTATCAAATAAATGTTGTGATATATGATGTAATTCATTTAACAAGTGTTGCGTAACCACAGGATCTAAACAAATATGTAATAAGTAGTGAACTAATTTTGATTTTGATATAATACTTTCACCAATATCATCGACATCGTTCACATAATCGTTTACATGAATGTGTTTTTCACCATCAGTAGCTTCGTTGACACAGGATGATAAGAGTCCAAGATTGTGTAAGTCACTGACGAGTTTTGAACGCCTAAAATAATACGAAGCGAAATAGCAACTGCCAACTGCGATTTAATCGATTACATGTTAGATTTCACAACAAACTAATATCAGTTAGAAAATTAACTGAAAGCAAGGTGGTACTGAAATGGTGATTTGCCCAAGTTTTGGACACTTCAGTAGCACTCATCCATGAATTTATCGCTTGATAATATCTGTTCACACTGTAACCTAACGTTCCCGGTTCCATTCTTATAGAACAGTTTTCTAATACTCTCTCGTTTTCAATAATTCCGCTGATGATGTAGGTTCATTATGGAATACAAACTTGAAAAAAAGTAGTCACTGACTCAAAGGAAATTAATGAGAGGGAAGGAGAGGGAAAGAAAATGTTTTAAGTACGTGGACCGCTTATCATAAAATTCTTTTTCCTAGGAAACATGGAATCGAAATCAAATGAAGTGTTATCCAACAGCTATTCGCATTCATTTCCACCCAGTTAGCAATGAGATACCTAATGTGTATGAAGACTAGTGATACCACCTGTCTATCCAAACCTCAGTAGGTGTAGCGATTCGAGTGTTTGAGTTCTATCTGTCATGTGAAATGGTATAATTACTCTTCAGAAGAATTCCGTGCAGACGCTTCCCTTACATTAATCATCACTACTTAATTATATAAATCTGACATTTTCTTCTTCACCCTTAAGCCCTTAAGCTTTAAACTGTTTTAATTATCTTTAATATTCGCGTAAAATATCTTAATTTTATCTCATATCCATTTTTATACAATATTTTTATGCATATTATCACTTGCATGTTCTTTTGAACTGAAATCTATTGGTCTTAACAACTCAATGTTATTTTAAAAACACAACTTTTATCAATAACAACTACCCTTTAAATATTATGCGTTCGTAGCTGTAGTGTTAGATGAGAAAGTTATCGAAAAGAATATTCTTCGTTCAATGTTTTTTTTATCTTCTAAGTGGTAATTTTTTAAACTGATAAGATACCAGAATGCAACTGAGATCAGGTTGTCTAATACTGAATAAATTGTCAGTCAAGTTTTAAATATGGTCATCATGCCAAGTGGCTCACAGTCAAACTATGATTTCAACTGGTGGCTACAAGCATTCACCAGGATCCCATACACCTTGTTATCATGCTTATTGGCACTCATTATCAAGGAGTATCTGTAGCCTGAAATAAACTGAATTCTTTTCACAGAATTGAAAGAAATTACTACTATGCCATTCGGGCTGGATTAAAATCCTATAGGTGGGTTTCCTAGCTTCATGATAATATTACAAGCTTGAGTGACAGAAGTGAGTAAGGAACAGACAGCAAGATATCACCAGATGGCTTAAAAAAATTTGTCCGTTGTGAGTTCTGAAATCTACTTCATGCGATAGTGGGTAATCTTGAACACTAACATGTCAGGGGAAAATGCCTATAAGCTGAAGGTATCACGACATTTTGAACAAAAGTATTTTGAATTTAAAGCACAGACTTACTTTGTATCATGTGTGCTAAATTTATGCAACGAATTACTTGATATTTCTTTTTTGTTAAACACGTTCTGTGAATATTTATACTTCTTCAATGCTGTCAACCATAGTTCTGGTAATTGACTAGAATAAGTATTAAAAAAATCTTCTGAATTTGTACAGATTCCTTCAGATTTCATTGAAATATTAGCTAGATAACATGTTCTAAAGATATGATCATTGAAGATAGTCTCCACTGATGTGATTATCGTTTTTGTTGTCGTTTGCATACTATCCTTTCCAATTTTATCTTTATCAACGTCAATATCACGAATATCAGCCTCACCAGAAATAGTTACATTCATAGGATGATACGTGGATTCCCAGCCAACAGGGTAAATAGCTGTAACACTGTTATTATTGCTGAATAGGTCTTCACTAATAATACTGATTGATTCGCGTGTTCTGGACTCTTGGACTAAACTAGAAACTAGTTTAATTAATTCACTTAAATAATTTGCTGCCTGATTGGCTAATTGTTTTGTTGTGGTTAAATTTTGTGGAGTGCATGGAGAAACTATAGAAGCGAGAAAAAAGCCGGTAAACACACAGGGTAATGCAATAAGAAAACAAATATATTAATCACAGAAATGAAATGAGTTTTATCATGAACGCAAAGAGTGTTGTATATAACATCTCTCACCCTAGATGGATCAGCAAAGCAAGCCTCTTCTCTATGACCACTTTCTATGCATAATTTAGCATCCATGGCATTGAAAAAAACTCAAATCAATATATTATATGATCACTGTTTACCTCAAAAAAGGGAAATAAGTTCTGCTGATAAACATCAACTATCACATATATGCTTCAAGTTGTCTGCCGAGATATCTAATTTACATTTCAATCCCAAGTGTGTGTGTTGAGTTCTACATACTAAAATTAATTTTCATCCAATAGTAAATAGTTTGATCATCCCGTAAATTTGGTTTGTTCACTTAAGCAGTGAACTATCAGATAGTAGGTTCAGGGCTCGAATCCCACTCTGATTACTTCACCCTGAGAATTACAGAGATATGTTAACCGACATCGAATTAGTTTGGAAAATAGTAAGGAGTGGTCAGATCAAATAAAACAAGACACCAACCCATGGAGTCTACGAGGAATGTATTTAGACATGTTGGGAGGTGTGGATAGTCTCAAAACACCGAGAACCAATGGCTGGAAACTATTAGTGACATGGCTCAAAGTCATTCTCAGTGACGTAGATGCATGCACTCTGTTGGATTTTTCAGATCCCTGTAATTATTCTTTCACTCTTAAGCTTCACTGTATTATTTTTTCTTTGTACTTGTTCTTTTTCGAACTTCTATGTGTGGTTTTATAAAGTGCGGTGACTTGAAGTACCGTACTTTAGTGCAAAGTTCTAGGTTGAAAATTCACTTCAATTAAGTTTGGATTACAAAACTTTAGTAATTTTGATTGATGTTGAAGGAGAAGGAAGTGAAGAAAATCGATCCATCCATATATATATATATATATATATATATATATATATAAATTTACCTGCATTAATCAGGTCACATATATAGTAATAAGTAATTACAAGCTTAATAATAAACTGCATTATAAAAGTACATCAGAAAAATAAGTAAATAATATTATAAACAAATGATAACGAAAACGAAATACACTTGTACCGAACCTAGATTTCTTGCGTTCCTAGTAAAGCATAGGGTTTCAAGTTTTTAAAGTTTCAGTAGCAATAGTGTTATTTTTACACGGTGTTGTTAGCTGAAACCCAATCTTCCCTCTTTTCCGCACTAACTACTAGATAGGTGAGATTTAGGGGTGCATCAGCCGAGAGCCTCCAAAGCCTCAGGATGGTCGGGGGCGGGTGCCTTGCGCTGCGGGTTGGCCACCCCTCCGTAAACCTCTTGAAATGCTCCCATATGACCGGGCGTCTTACATAGCCTCTCCTGAGGAAGTCCTACTCACTGCCTTCACGTGGTGGAGGTGTTTCTCACCAAAGTGAGAGGGCGAAAGCGGATGCCCGGCGCTCTTCACCGGGTTGACTGTCCATTGGATGACAGTCTAGGGAGATGGCTAAACCCTGATTCCAAACCTCCAACGACTGGCGTATGAAGCTCACCGGAGCTCACCGACAGACGTATGGACAAAGGGCTTATTGGATGCCCTGGATGTCTGGCCCCATTCTAAAAGGCGTATGAACCGGACTCCGGTCACCGGCTGCCAATGGATAGTGGACTCCCTACTCCACTCCTACTGCCTTGTAGGTCACACTTGGTTGTGTAAAGGCTAGAGCTGTACTCTCAAACAAAAGGCCGAGCGATGCTGGGGACATCACTCGTACCCAATTCCCATTAAACTTCATGGTTCATGAAGCCGGCTCATCCTCCCGTAGGAGATAGCCGAAGTAAAGTAAAGTAAAAGTAAGTATCAGCTGAGAGTAGAAACGGGAACACCTCGCGTGGCTAGCGTCTTGGTGAGTGCAAGAATCCTAACCACTAGACCATGCAGGACTGAGACTACAACAAAAAGTAAACGGCGCAAATGCAATGTGTTCTTTTGTCTGCGGACAACAGTGAATGACTTGACCAGCGTCAATATCATGTACGCGGTCTATAAATGCTTATCATAGTAGTTATTATAATAACGTTATTGAATCGTAATCCAATATAAACTTAATTTTAATCTATCATACCTCTTATATATATATATATATATATATATATATATATATATATATATATATATATATATATACTATGTAGAGTATTCAGCTGAAGAACTCTTTCAAAACTTGATGAATACATTGTTTCCTTCTGTATTAACAATCAGAATGATCATTCAATGGTTCAATACTAAAGACTACAGAATGCAGTTTGTTTGATTTTCACATAGCGAAATGTGTAATTTGCAAATAATAAATTTGACTCTACATATTATAAGTTGGCATAAATACTCAATTCGAATGGTTCGAAGAAAGTCTTACTGAGTGCATCTTTGATGACTCCTGTACCGTCGGTTGTTTAGATCATCACTTTGATTCCTCTAGCAAACACCACTATTTGACATGAGTGGCTTCCAACTATCTGTAACATTCAGTAGTATATACCATAGAAATACTATTCAAATAACAAAACAAGCAATTCAATTCTAACTCTCATAACTTTAACACTGTAGAGAACTTACACAATATATCATTATTCTTTGACTTCTGAGCGACAACTGCTCTCCTTTGTGGTTTCATTGGTGGCTCATCATAATGATCATTCTTGGTGCAATCAATGAAATTTGATTTAGTGTGACTTATACTATTCCCATTAATTTGACCATTTAAATTGTCTTGTTTATTATTATTTGTATTATTACTACTTTGGTCTAATGAAGCTTCAGATCCTGAGGGACTTGATCGACGATCACCATCGTCTTCTTCATGACTAATATTATTATTACATAAATCGTTTTCAATTGAAGTGGATCGTGTTATTAGTGTTGGTTCAGTAGATGGAGTATGTTCAATAGTATTAGTTTGTGCTAAACTGACTAAATTATTATTATTAGCATTACTATCAACATTTCCTAATTTATATGTTCCAAAATGTGTTGAAGTTGACATTGAATTAAATGATTTTGTTGTAGCTGTAGTTACTGTTTGTGTATTATGCAAACTTTGTTTTAATTCATTTATTTCCATTTGTGCTGACTGAAGTGTCAAACGTAATTCATTGATTTGTTTACGCATCGCTGATTCCCGATCAGCAACAACACTTTCATATTCACGTTTTTTTATACGTAATGACTCAACAATGCGTAGAAGTTCATTTTCTTTGTGCTAAATTATTAAGCAAAAGACAAACACTAATAATGATGATAATAATAAGAACACAGACTAGACTATTGAATCCACTTCAATTGTTACTCGACCACTATGCTTATTTTTTGAAGTCTAGTGACACTACTCTGCCACCCAAACCTCGACAAGTGGAGCGGCATTCAAACCCGTGGTAGTGAGTCGAGCTCCATGACCAATAAACCATAGCTCAAACAGATTATAGAAACAATATTATTATTTATTGTCCTGTGTTCAATTTACAAGCAGCTGGTATTGAGTCACATCTGCTGTGAGGGCCAACTGAATATTATCTGGCTGCCCAAATATATGTAGGTGGAGCAGTTTGAACCTGTCACCCAATGGTTGATAGTACAGAGCCTGGACTAGTAAGCTACAAATTATTATTTTACTCCAGCTATTTAAAATACAAAACCTGGTACGAAATAGGCACCAAGAAGATGGTGCAACTTCTAGTAAAAAAATATGAAAACAGGTAGAAAATGAATAAAGGACTTTACCCAGAAACTAAGCAGCCTTATTTAACAAGGCCAAATGGCATTTATCGAGTTATTGTCAGAAAGAGAAATAAGAAGGAAATTGCAGCACATCTGCCACTTATTCCGATTCTTGGCCATATCTGGTATCTTTTCGAGCCACTGATTTGAGCTATCTCTCGGATCGCAACCAGAGGATCGTGACGCACCAACCGATGCTACCCTACCACAAATATCCTTCATCCCACGAGACCACATCATGGAATGACCACCTCTCTGTTTTTTCCATCCTGTTCCAGGGTTGGCGAACAGAGGCCGGTACTGAAGCCTCTGGCATTACATTCGTAACACATATCCAAGCCACCGAAGCGGTGATACCATCAAAGCAAGTCTACGGAGACAAATATAATCGAATACGCAGAGTCACCACAAATCCTAATTGCAGAGGGGACAGGTTTCACAGACGCAGAGCAGGACTGTGCGCACCAAAGCATTGTAAATCCAACCTTTGATAGCCAGGCTGACGTCACGACGGCGCCGAAGGTGGCTCAAGTTGACGAATGCCACCCTAGCTTTCATGATACGGTTGGAAATCTCATCCATCACGCTGCCACCAGCACTCACACAACTACCCAGATATACGAACTTACCGACAAATTCAGGCGATTCCCTTGCAAGAGTGAGTGCAGGTACACGCTCCCGCCAATCTTGTAATAGTACACTGCACTTACAAGGTGCAGAGCACATACTCACAGACACTGATTGTCAACTAAATTGGGCAGCCTGCACAGTATCGTACAGTAAGACGATATCGTCTGCCTATTCTAGGTCGAAAAGCACTTCTCCAGGAAGCAGATCCACACCACCATCGCGCAGTCCTTCAGAGCTGACTCCAGAATGTCATTGATGGCAAAGTTAAAGAAAAAGTTAAAGATTGGTCAACCCTGTCTAACCCCACTGTTGATTGGGAACAGTGATGATAGTTGGTATGCCTTCACTCTACCTGAGGTATTTCTGTATAGGGCTTTCAGGATGTTAACACACTTCTCAGGTACACCCCTCTCTAACAGACGGTTCCAGGGAACAGTTCTGTTCAAAGAATCGAAGGCAGCCCTAATATTAAGAGACATAACGGTCGTTGGTCTACAATACGTGTGGCGGCGTCCCAGCAACTGACGAAGGGTGAACAAATGATTCTGGACCCTATGTACACCATGCTAACTATTTTTAGCCTAACCGCTATCCAAACAGCCTTCCTAGCGTGGCAGGACCTGCAGGAACATAATCTCCGGCAAATATTGCTTGTTGCGTCACTGAGGCATACATGCTTTAGTGATTAAACAAAAACACATTATAATGGTTTTTTTAGAATACAACCCGGCCATAGCGTCAAGGTAGCAGTTATCGGCCGGAATAAGCTACGAATGCATGATAATAATTGAAATAAGGTGTTAGACAACTAGGGGAGGGTTAAGACAAGCATGGCGCATGTTATTCTGGAAGAGCGTCAAGACTGCAGTAAAACCAACTTGTTAGAAAAAGGAAGGGTGGTCATATCAAAAAACAAAACACCAACTGTTAACAATCGTTCAAATTATTCTGAACCCTTTGAGGAGATATAGATTATCCAAAGTGTCAGCGGCTGAAATATCTTGATGAGACAGATATATATGCATTACAGTATTATGAATCTATTAATTTTAAATGGTTGTTGAAGATTTCAGGCATTTCCACTAAAATTTATTATTATTATTCATACGATATCACGTGCTGCATGCTCTTATGAAATACGACATCAGGGATTCATTAACTTGAGGAAACTTATATAAATTCAAAATTTCACAAATTAACACGGTATCCAATAGACGCAAGCATCCTATAAAGAGGGAGGGACGTGCTATGCAATGCAACTAGTCATTTGTATTTTCTTTCATATTTTAGGATTACAGTAGTCATTGTTGCTTACAGAGAAAACTGAGAGAAGAAAACGTGGATTGTTACTCAACAACCAATAGCGTTTTTAGACAGTTGACGATGAGTCATACATGTGTGAGCAAGGGTTAGTGATACTACCTGACTGCACAAACCACGGAAAGTGGAGATGATTACGAACCCGTGGCCACTGACTGGAAGTTCAGCATTTATAACAATGAGCCAGTCACAAAGGACAAAGGATGTGAACTACTCGTGACTACACTGAATAAAAATATCTAAATATCACTTTGTGATATTCAAAACTCTTGGTAACATTCTGAAGACAGAACAAAGGATCTACCTCGTCCTAACGGAAAATATGATTAATTTATACCGAACATTATTTTGAACTAATTAATTGTCAATATCAGTATATAAAACAATTCACTTGATATTATTCAAGAGCGAAGGGAATATAATAAAAGAAATAGATTGTAAGGACATATGCGTACGCACACACACACACACACAAATACGAGAAGACAAAACTATATGGGAACATGACATGTCCATTAATTAGAAAACACATTGACTTTTTGACAATTTTAAATTACCTCAATACCAAATTCATCAATGATAACATCAATAAAGTGTAATAGATTGACTTATCTAGAGATGTATTACAAGCAAAACATTTAATATTCAATGAATGCACCACATTACTACACTTTCAGTCAATAGGTCCCAGGTTTGAATCCCACTCCACTTATTTTACGCTGGTATAACATACAATTACAGAATAACTCCGAAGTTCATCAACCAGAATTTCTATTGATTAAAAATGCCCATTAAAATTTTCAAAATAATGGATACTGAACAAAGAGTACTCTTTTCGATAAATTCATCATCAGGCTCTACATTTATACATACATTATAGTGAATGAATGAGTTAGTGTTATTATTATTGTATCCTTTAGTTCCTAGAGGAACATAGGGCTTCAGCTGCGCACCTCCATTGCCTTCGGTTTTCTGACAACTTTTTCACCCTGCTCCATGTATATCCACATGCTTTCATCTCCTCCTCGCATGACCTCCTCCAAGTCACCCTTGGACGACCAACTCGCCGCTTCCTTTTCGGGTTCCACTTGAGGGCTTGTCTAGTGATGTCACTTGATGGTTTCCTCAGCATATGGCCAATCCATCTCCATTTCTTCCTGCCTATTTGTTTCACAATCGGTTCCTCATTGGTTCGCTCATTGCCAGAGATCCTTGTTTCTGATCTTTTCTGGCCATCTGATCTTGAGTATTGAGCGGAGACAGCTGTTAATGAAGGTCTGAAGTTTGTTTGAGATGCTCTTTATGACTCGCCAAGTCTCTGATCCGTATAGTGTTATAAACGACATTAATGTTTAAACAACATCAAATCAATAATATTGATAAATTACACCTGAATCGCATCAACATAGGATAAGTTGAATGTCAGAAACATTAAGAACTGAACATTAAGACTGATAATCACAAAGCCAGATAAAGGATCAGGAGTAGTCCTCCTTGATAGAAGTGAGTATATTAAAAAGATGAATGATATATTAAAGGACACTTGAGAAGAAAGATTTCAATAACAAAATAGAGAATGAATTAACCAGACGTTTGAAGAAACTAAAGGAAGAAAGTCCTTTTCAACGACTTCATTTCCAAGCTGTACAGTCGTATTTATATTACAGAAAAAGGCTATTAATTGGCACTAAATAATTGCTCAGTCAATGTACGTATATATGTGATAAAAGTTATAAGGGGTAGAGTTGAAGTGGATAAATTACAAAAATATTAAAGATTGTTCTATAACAAAAATGTCAAGTGTTGTCTAAAAATTTTGAAAATTAGGAGTACGATTACGATAAGAATGAAGATGTGAAGTGAAGTGGAAAGAATTCAAGTGGTAAAATAAAATAAAAACTAGAAAGAACATTATTATGACCAAGGTAAAGAAAGGGGTTTGACAAAACGCTTTTGAACACATAATTTAGGTTTCTGTTCATGTATAGCTAAAGCTTCGGCTATGCATAAGTGAAGAAAACGTAAACTTTTGGATCGATTCGATTTTGCCATGTATATAACTTTGAAAGATGAATCACGTGGGGCTAAATGACCAGACTCTAACAGGTGATCACAAATAGACGACTTTGCAGTTCTACGTTCGCCTTTCATTAACCAAACCGGATAGTGTTCAGCTACACGTTTTCGGAGATTACGCTTACAACGTCCAATATAAACAGCTCCACAAGAGCAAGTAAAAGAGTAAATGCACATAGATGTGGACAAAAGCGGTAATCTATCCTTGACGCATTGTCTGATCATATTTCGGCTGGTAAAAACTAGTTGCAGGTCAGCTGCAGGAAAAGTGCGTTTAACACATTTAGATAAACGATTTTTAATCAATTCTGAAATGGTGTCACCTTTGAATGCAAGACTCATAAACAGCTTTTTCTTTGGTACTGTGACTTGTCTCGGGGCGGATTCTTTCTTGATGTTACGTTCAATGAACCTTGTGGGATAACCATTGTTAAGGAGATTTGATCGAAGGTTATCTAG